CACCTGCCACACAGCCCCGGCCGCCGCTGGTCAGCCCGAGGGAGACACCCCTGCATCCCACCCGGAAGAGGGAACCCAAACTCTTACCCTCCTTGCAGATCTCATCTCTTCTTTTGACTGTCCCCGGCACCCAGGGGTCCCCTTCAGGTTCCCCGAGCCCCCAGACTAGGGTGGCTTTATCACAACCAGAGCCCAGCCCCTTCTCTCCTGGGAGGCCACTTCGGGCTGGCAGCTCCCCTTCCTCCGGGTCCCCTGGCTGTCCCTCTACAATGGGCTGCAGCCCCAGTCGGGCCCTTCTTCTTTTCAGCTGGTGGCTCTCCCTAGGTGCCAGCAAGTGTCCACCCAGAGGCATGGGTGGCATCCAGCCTGAGCCATCACTGCCTGCAGCCATGTCAAGGGGTGCGGGTGGGTGTGGAGCTGCCGCTGGTTCTGCCCGCTCTGCAGCTGGCTGGCCCTTGGGCTTACTGGAGGCGTTGCGGTACCGCAGCTCCTTGAACGTGGTCACCTCTCTCTGCCTGGAGCTGGGCGCTTTCACAGCCCAGTCATGCGGGAGCTGAGGCCGGGTTGGCTCCTGGCCCATGGCACTGGAGAGGAGCTCACTGGGGGGTGGCAGCTCTGTGTCAGGTGAGAACACAATCAGCCAGTCGCTCCTGTCAGCCCTGGCCTGGGCAGGCCCAACAGCGTTTCTCTTCCTCTTTTGGGCAAGCTCATGGAAGGAGGTGATGGTCCTCTGGCCCACATCTCTGCACAGTTTGCCCGAGCTGGGCTCTGGCTGCGCAGGCAGGAGCGGCTGCTCCGCTCTGTGTGCACTGAGAACCTGCAGCCGTCTGCGGGGCCGGGGGGGCACTGGTGGGGGGATGCTGCCAGCCCAGGGCTGCAGCTCAGGAGTGCTGCTCAGAGCTGGATCACACCGTGCTGGCACAGGTGGTGCCGGAGACACTGCATCAGTGTTGGGCAGGGAGTTGCAGTTAGGGTCTCGGTTGGCATAGATGCTGGTGGCCTCCTGCACCGCCGTGCTGGGAGAGGTCTCATTGCCCTGGGAGTCAAGTGAGGTGCCGCTGCAGAGGCTGTCTGGGCTTTCTCCAGTCACGGTGTCTGATCTCTGGAGCACTGAGTGGTTGAGGTTAGCATCTCTTCCACCACATGTCCTACTCTGGTCTGCCAATGACTGGTCATCCTGGCTGTCTTCTATGGGAATGATGTTGGGCTGATTTTCAGGGGATTTGGACTCTTCTCTGGAGAACCCTTTGCAGTACACAGAGACCGGGGAGTCATCCAAGCTGAAATCTGAGCAGCTACTGACGGACGAGGAGGAGGAGGAGGAAGCCAGATCGCAATGGGGATCGCAAGGGGAAACCACCTCCTCTCCAGCATGCAGGCAGGGGAAATCCTCTGGAGCTGCCTGATTCTGGAGACCCAATGTCACCAGCTGCTGAGTATGGGACTCACAACACTGGCATTTCAAGGAGGGACTGTTGGAATTGGCATCCACTTGCTCACAGTTCTCTGGGCAGTTGGTGCAGCCAGTCTGGTCTCTCCCACCCATGGAGGCAGAGGTCTCCTGGAGCTCTGGGTGCCGGGAGAGATGCAGCCCCAGGGAGATGTGCTGCAGATGGATGTGGTTGAGGTTGCACAGCAGGCCTTTTGTAGGAGCCAGCATGATGCTGCCTCACTGGTGGCGCCAGAGCTGCCTGGAGAGCCCCACAGTTCCTCTCTTCAGACCATCAAGCTCCCTGCAAACATCAAATCTCCTTTCAGTTGGTGGGGGAGAATGCAGCAGCACAAACCTGGAGAGGAATGAGCACGGTGAGAGGGAGGGTGGTGACCTTGCAGCAGCCACTGAGCAGGGAAGGACCAGCTGCAGGTGACTGGTGTGAGGGCCAGGGGCTCACAGAGGGCAACACGCCCAGCTGAGGGACTGCCCCACAGCCCCCCACCAAACTTGGGCCTGTCCAGCTGGGCAGGGGCTGCAGCCGGTTGCCGGCAACCGTGGAGCCAGCGGCTGATCCCCAGAGCATGGACCTGAGCATGGTCTGAGGAGGCTCTGGCTGGGCCGCGGCTGATTCCCACTGCCGGGGCACGGCAGGTGGGAGCATCTCGGAGATGCCATCAAGGAGAAAACGCCCTTGGAACCTCAGCCAGGAGCTGCCGGTGAGGGGAGGGGGCCGAGGAGAGGGCACTGCCGGGGGGAGGCTCAGCCCGGGCGGGGTTGAGGAGACGCCCGGTCCGTCCTCAGAAACGCCGCAGAGGCTGCGCATGGCCCTGCCCTT